TCCTCCTCCTCTTCCTCCTCTTCCTCCTCCTCCTCCTCCTTCTCTTTCTCCTCCTTCTCTTCCTTCTCCTTCTCCTCCTCTTCTTTTAAAAACATGGTTAGCTCAGAGCCATAAAAAACTGGTTTGAGGCCGAGTGAGGTGGCTCATGCCTGTAATCCTAGCACTTTGGGAGGCCCAGGCGGGTGGATCACCTGAGGTCCGGAGTTTGAGACCAGCCTGACCAACATGGAGAAACCCTGTCTCTACTAAAAATACAAAATTAGCTGGGCGTGCTAGTGCATGCCTGTAGTCCCAGCTACTTGAAAGGCTGAGGCAGGAGAATCTCTTGAATCCAGGAGGCAGAGGTTACAGTGAGCAGATTTGGTGCCATTGCATTCCAGCCTGGGCAACAGAACCATCTCAATAAAAAGAAAAACAAAACAACTGCTTATCAAATGGTATTGTGCATAGAAATACCTGATGAAGAGTGGGGAATCTTATTAAATTGAAGATTCAGATTTCAGATATGTGGGTTTGGGCCTAAGATCCTCTACTTCTAATACACCTTTGGATGACGCGTTTGTTGCTAGTTGAGCGGCTCACACTTTAGATAACAAAACTGTCGAGGCTGAGCTGTTTCATGGCACTTCATGTGATGAGCAACTCCCACTTCCCCTTAGTGTTCTGTTCTGAATCCCCAGTGAGTTTTGCTGACAACTCAGCTTTATTTTTTGACCAACGAATGGAGTTGTTTTATCCAATGATACAGAGTACCCAGTAATTTAGTGCTCCTTGACAATCTTAAAGGCCCAACTTCTTTGGGAATATGATGAAAGCTACACTGCCCCCCACCACTACAACCTCCCTTTTACACAATAATACCTATTTTCACACACAATTTTAAAGAATCCAAAGACTTATGTAAGGCTCATGCATTGGGTCCATCTTAAAAAAATCACTGCTATTGTTATGTAATGTCTGAATTTAAGAAAGCTCAGAATTATGGAGATTAACCCATATTTTTAATATCAGCCTAAAACTTAGATTTTAGCAGTATTTCTGTATATCTATCTTTCTAATCTGTCTTTCTCCCTGTCTCTCTAATCTATTTATCTGGCTGGTGAGACCTTTAAAGTTTATTTTATGTCCTAATTATCTATTGCAAACCTGATGATTTTATTAGAGCCTAAAATCACAAATGAAGAAAATCATGTTAACTATTGTTAGAAGCAAGCACAACTTGTTATACACCTTTTATTAAACTTGTTCATGGTGTTCTTTTCTCTACCAATTTTTTAAAAATTTGCTTGAGATACAATTCATATACCACAAAACTCACCCAGAGTATACAATATAATAATCTTTATTACATTCAAAGAGTCATGCAACCATCACCGTAATTAATTTCAGAATATTTTTGTCACCCTTACAGAAATCCCATCCCTATTGGAAACACTTTCCCAGACCCCCTCCATTCCCCACTTCCATAACTCAGCCCTAGGCAAGTATTAATCTACACTTTATGTCCATGGATTTTCCTACTCTGGACATTTCACATAAATGGAATTGTATAATATATGATCCATTGCAACTAACTTCTTTTACTTATATTTTCCATGTTCATCTATGTTGTAGCATGCATTATTTATACTTCATTTTTAAGGCTGAATAATATTTCATTGTATAGATATAGCACATTTTATTTATCCATTCATCATGGACATTAATGTTGTTGATTCACTCTTTTAATCAGTTCAGTTGGTAGACATTTGAGTTGTTTCTGCTTTCTTGGCTATTGCGAATAATACTGCTATGAATATTCATGAGTAAATTTTGTGTGGATGTATGATTTCATTTTGGGGTGATAAATATCTAGGAGTGAAATTGCTGGGTCAAGTGGTAACTACATGTTTGACATTTTGAGGACCTTCCAGATTGTTTTCCAAAGTGACTCTATGATTTAAATTCACACCAGCAATGGACGAGGCTTTCAGTTTTTTCACACCCTTGACAATACTTGTTATTTTACATTGTTTTGATTATATATGTCCTAGTGAGTATGAAGCGTATTTCACTGTAGTTTTGATTTGTACTTCTCTAATAGCTAATGATGTGGTGTATCTCTTTATGTGGTTACTGTCTATTTTTTTTATTCTACTTTGTCAAATTTGTCCAACTTCTTATTCCAATCTTTGCCCATTTTAAAATTTGATTATTTATAATTTTATTGAGTTATGAGTTTTTTGGATATTCTGGATATAAATCCATTATCCAGTATATGATTTGCAGATTGTTTTTTTTTTCTGATTCAGTGCATAGCATTCTTTCAAGCACAAATATTTAAACATTATATAACATCCAGTTTATTTATTTTTTCTTCTGTTGCTTATGCTTTTGGTATCACATTCCAGAAGGTATCACCTAACTCAAAAATCATAAAACCTTGCCTCTCTAATTTTTTGTAATCATTTTATAGCTTTACTTTTTACATTTAGGTTGTAGATGTTCTTTGATGTTTTTATAAAAGTAGGAGTAAAATTACTAGAAGAATATCCTGATATGATAGTACTATAATCTTTAGGTAACATAGTGTACATATATTGTAAGGATAAATGACTAAAATTCTTTGTGTGCTCATTGGACATGCTGAATTTTAAATATTCTTGCTAAATTGCTTAGATATATTACCACTTTTTCTTTATAAATCTATTATTTTATATTTTATTTAATAAATATCAGTGTATTTTATTCAGCTCTTCTTATTCAGCCCTTCTCCAGGCCTACTGCCTAAGAAGTTAGAGGCAAGCTGACATAGTAAATAACACCCTAGTAGCATGGATAATTTACTCGATTACTTTTAATAGTAGACCAGTTTTTGCAGTAGGGAGAATGTAGGTCACTGTGCACAGGGAGATTAAAGGAGAACAAAGAGGCTATCTCAACAGATGATTGTAGACTACTATATGCCTGTTACATGAAAAGTGGCATAAACTCTTGATGTATTTTAGGTTCAGAATCTATGGCTATGTTTCCAGACCTTTACGTTGAGAATATGTTTCTGATTTGCAAGCTACTCATATTTAGCCAGTGCTATTTAAATACTTTGGGAACTTTTTTGATAATGAATCTTAAAAATCGTCATTACTTTTATATTCTGTAAATTTCTCTTTGCTTTAAGACCCAGCACCCATGATCTATAACCTTTATTATTGTGATGTGTACTGTCATTACCTCTCCAGATGCTTCGGTTCTCTTTAGTTCTTTCTAAATTTCTGACCTGTGAACAATAAATTACTCTTGTGCTTTGGGTATCTAACACTTGTGATGTATACATTCCTCTTTGGACTGATGTGATTAAAAAATAATAGCAACCTTTAAAAATTAATCCACTTCAGAAAAAAAAAACTTTATAAAAGACTAAATTAAATCCCCTTTAATACATTAAAATGTGTATTTTCAATTAATATTGAGAGCGAACTGAGGTAACATTGAGAGGCAAATGTTACTGCTATCTATTAAAGAGATATGTGCTCACATTAGGTGACTGGTTAGAAAGTTATAAGAGCAAACTTTTAAGAAGCGCTTATCTATAGAATCATTTTGTCCCCATAGATGGTGATTCCTCTGAGCATCTCCTTTTGATTTACTTGCAGCAGCTGGTAGAACATTTTCACAAATAATGGTAATGGACACCCTATAAATGAAAAATATTCAAAATAACACATTACACAAAAATTTGATCATAACATATCAGCAGGTCCTTCTCTTCTTATTTCTTATGCCCTGTATGGCACCACTTTGATTGCATTTGCAGGGAAGTCACTGGTACGATCTCTCTTTCTTTGTACTGTGAATAGGAGTATACCAAATTCTGTCAAGCATTTTTTTGGTGACATGGTGTATTTTTCCTTCTTCTTTTCTACCTAAACCATCATTTCCCAAGCTCAGATTCTTTTTATTCTTCTCTTGGACTGTCACAGTAAATTACAACTGTTTTCACATCTCCATTGCTATCTCTTATTGATAATGCAGACTAAAAGTATCTTTCAATTATACACATAATCATGTCACTGCCTCCTTAAAATCTGTGAGCCAGGTGAAATAATAGTCATAATCCTGAGCATGGTATAAAGCCCATTGTCTCAGGCTATAAGACTGACTTACACCTTTTTCTGCTATGTCATCTTCCTTCCTGACTGTGAAATGTAGCATGCACATAACTCTCATTTCTTTCTCTTTCTGCTGATGGTGGCCTTTGCATGATGCTTTTCTCTTTTAGTTGTCATATTTTCATTCTTTACAGCTCAATCTAAATGTAATTTTTTTGGGGGAAGAGATCTGTTGCTATGCTTGATTTAGAGTTAATTTTTGAATTTTTTCTTTTTGCTTGTGGTGCATTTCTTATATACTTCTATGCAGCCACATTCCATTTTAACATAGTGATTTATACTTGAGCTCTTCAGTCAAATACACCTGAGTTCTAAATCCTGCCTCTACTGCCTGCTGTATCTACATTCCTGGGCAACTGAGCTTTTGACTCATCTGCTAAATGGAGATAATCTTCGTACATAATTTGCAGGTCTCTTTCTGTGTTAGCCTGATAACACATTGGCAGCACATTAAATGACATCTATGTGTGTCTTCCAGGTGTTTGCCAACCTGGCTTTCTTCCCCAGTATATAGTAAGCAATCTGAGGACAGGAAATTAGTCTTACTCATCTTAATCCCCATGCTGACCCCAGAAGAAAATCTCTTGTTCTGTTTTACCTTTGCTTGTCTTGTTTCATGGAACACGTTAAACCTAACTCCTTAGAGTTAACATATTAATGTATTGATATATTGCCCCATTCCACAAAGGAGTTGGGATGACTTATGAGATACTTACACGAAACGAACTATAAGCAAAATCATATTCAGTGGAATAATCGAAGGGTTTCATTTCACTATCAGGAACCTAAGTGAAACTGAGGGTTTTAATAAGGAAATGTTAACGCTTGTCTTTTTTCTGCCATGTTTTGTAGGATCGCGTCTTCGCCAGGAAGACTTTCCCCCGCGGATTGTGGAGCACCCTTCCGATGTCATCGTCTCTAAGGGAGAGCCCACGACTCTGAACTGTAAGGCCGAGGGCCGGCCAACACCCACCATTGAGTGGTACAAAGATGGGGAGCGGGTGGAGACGGACAAGGACGACCCCCGGTCCCACAGGATGCTTCTGCCCAGCGGGTCCTTGTTCTTCTTGCGTATTGTGCATGGGCGCAGAAGCAAGCCTGATGAAGGAAGCTACGTTTGTGTCGCAAGGAACTATCTTGGCGAAGCAGTGAGTCGAAATGCATCTCTGGAAGTGGCATGTAAGTGAATATAATGAGCCGCATAGGCACATTTACTTTTATTTATTTCAAGTAAGTTTTGATGCGTTCCCATAGATGCTAAAGCCCAAAGAATCAAGCGATCAACACCCTGCATAATTTTACTTGGCTTTCTTCAAAGAAGTCTGGTCGGGATAATATCAAGCCAGGGAGTTGTAGAAAATTTGTTTATATGAAATCAGGGTGGCCAATATGTTATTATAAGAAAGAAAAGCGTCAATGATGCTGTTCATACTTAAGATGTGAATTATTAATGAGAGACATAGTCCAGTTTTAAAGTTGGCTATCTTAAAATGAAAACTTTATGTGTAGCATAAGTTTAAAGTTGGCTATGTTAAAAATGAAAATTTATGTGTAGCATGACAAGGTATACATTCAATATTATTCCTATTTCTGTTATCAATTTATAGGTAAGTAATTATTTATACACACACTCACACACATATTGATATATACATTTACTTTGAAATCTAACTTTTGTCAGCAACGTTAGAAAGAACATACTCTCTTATTCTGTAGCTTATCCCTACTCTTCTATTTCCAGGCTCAATTCAGGAATTATAAGGCATAGCAAGGAGAACAATAACAGCAATTATGCTTTTTACTTTACTTATTCATTTATGATAAAGCTCATCAGAGAAGAGACCTGCTATCTGCGGGAACAGAATATTCATATATAGGAGGGGTTCTCACTTCTACTGAAACTTGGTAATCAGAAGTAGCTAAGGACATGCCTTCCTGTTGGTGTTTTTATGTATTTATTTTTTTTCATTAGATAGTGCAAATAACAGTGGTAAATCAAGATATCAGTGTTTTCCATCAGTTTGAACATTGACTCCTTAACTTCATGGATCCTTTTCTAGAACAAAATTAAAAATAGGATAGTTACTTTTCTAATTTGTAACTGACGGTTTGGGGTTGTAATATAAATAATACACTGCAAGTTTGATATTAAGTTATCTGTTTTGAGGAAAGATTTTATCCAGACTAAATTGTGAATAAGATGCCAACAATTATGCCTTAAAATGTTTGTACTCTTCAGCTTTCTTGTTGTCATGTACACCTTCAGAGATAAGAGAGTTGGGAAATTTCAAGATGCTGGAGTCTTAGGTATATAGATACATATATTTTCTCCTAAATAATAGCTCATGGACTTATGTCTTTCTTTTGGTAAGTAAAAAGATACTATTTCTTATGCAGCTATCCCAGTGAAGTCTTTTGTTCTCAGGTGTCTGCTTCTGAGTTATAGTTTCTGCTAAGAAATCTGGAATCAACTGATGCTGGAAATGTATAGTTCCAATAGGAAAAGACTAGGAGAATCCTAAGACCCACATTTTTTATTTTATGTGAAGTGCCTTGAGATATGAGCATTTGGACTTTAGTTAACAATGGCATTTTATGCTGGCCACCAAATAGTTTTATTTATATAAAATGACACTTCAAAAAGCCCTTAAATTAAATGCAATTTAATGCAATTTGAAATACACATGCAAAAATTCAAGAATGCAAATATCCATACCTGTTCCATTTCTGTTTGGAAACATCTAATTTTAGAAACTTTTCAAACATGTTGAAATACTTCAATCCCAAATTTTATTGATTTTTTTCCCCATCAGATCTTTCTATGGTAAATATGACTGCTATTATTCTCCCATTTTCTAGATAAAGAAAGTGATGCCCATAAAGTTTAGGTGACCAAGATGCAGACAATAAATTAATGAGGGATCCTAGACCAGATCCTGAATCTTCTAATTTTTATTTTTAGGGAAATGTTCCATATTTGAAGAAATACTCTAAATGAAATCTGGTCTGTTTTAAATATATGAAAATTAAGATTTTTGAATTTTTCATAATGTTTAAAAAATTTATGTACTCAGCGGCAAATAACTTGCTTAAATTTTTAATAAAATTTTAAATTTCAAAATTAAAGTGTATAAAAATTGACCAGTCATTTTATTGTTTGGCAGTTATACACTTACTTTTTATCCTAAGCCTTTGCTTTGTTAAAATTGGTCCCAGCACACATGTATCTTTTATTTTTATTTCAGCTAAAAGAATTGCTTTCTTTTCTAATGGCATCAATAATAGTGAATCGAGCTGTTTTAGGAAGAATATTTTAAACCATGATTTGTGTGTGTGTGTGTGTAATGTGACAATAATATATATTTTTTTATTTTGAAATACATGAGCTTTAAGAAATGCTTGAATTACCCATGACCTAGAGAGGGAAACAAGAAGGCTTGCAAATTGGATTAGGTAGTGAATAAAATTCTTTCTTCTAATGCCACGTCAACAGTTTATTCCATTTGAGGCATCACAAGGTCAAATAATATTTATTTATATGTTGCTCATCTCTTTCCATTAGCTTATCAGTCTTCTTTCTTTCCTTGTGTATTTCATAAAACATATTAATATGGAAATTTGGGTCAAAGTGTTGTGATTTTTTAGTACCTATTGGTAAATAGTGTGCTTTTTTATAAAATGATAAAGGAACAGCTCTAGAGGAACAACTCCAGATTATGTTAAACTGATCTTCGTATTTTAGAAAACTCAACATAAATACTCATTTTGGTTCACTTAATCTATTAATAGAAGGTGGATAGCCACTGAAAGAAGTGTTAAATATAGAAGAAGACACATTCCAATCCATTCTCAAAGAGCTCACATTCTAGTTGGGATGACAAACATGTAAATAAATAGTTACTGTAATAAACTAAATAGATAATATAGCTTATTATAAAGACATGTAAAAATACTATGCAAATCTGGAGGGAAGATATCTAATTCTTCCTAGATAAGTAAATTTTAGATATGATTCTAAGAGGATACATTCTGCTAAAAAAAAAAACTGCAAAAAATCTAAATGCTTACCACTGTCATTGGCTAAATATATTGTGCAATCTATGTAATAGAATACTGTATATATATATATATATAAAGAGGATACATTCTTTGAGCTGTGATTTAAGGTCAGGTAAGAATTGAAGTTCAAAGACCATCCTGGTAGAAAGAATGGAAGCTTAAATGAACGCTGTGTTATTTGGAGAACTGCCAGATCTCTGGAAATGAGGTTGGGGGTAGAGTAAATTAGAAAGGTAGGTATATGTTGAATCAAAATTTAAACTATTTTGATAGGAGAAAAGATAATCTTTGAAAGATAATTGAAGATTGCATTAAAGATATGATGATTGAAGTCAGAGAGGTGTTAGGTAATGGTCAAATAATTTAGAAAAGAGTTGATGCTAGATTCTGAACTGAAAATAGGTGTGAAGGTTGAAAGGAGGAAACAGTTTGAAACATATTTAGGAATTGTAAACTATGTTACATTATGGTCAACTTGGGGAATTAGAGGATGATTACTAGGTTTGTTTTGTTTGTTGTGTTTTTTTGGCTGAGTGACTGGGTATATTATAGTGCTACCATTCATAGGAGAGAAGGTACACAGATATAACTAGGGGACAGAAGAGTGTGGTAAACTTTAGCTGTATTTTTTTGACGTACCAATGAAATACTAAGCTTAAAATAGCTTAAGTTTCATTAAGGAAACAGATTCTGAAGTTGAGGGGAGAGGTTTTTCCGAGATGGGTGTTGAAGCCATGGAAGTAAGTAGAAATAGATGTGATTGCCAGGCAGGCTGTGTGCAGGGAGCAGTTAATAAGGGGTGAGTCCAATCCCATTGCTTATAACAACAATATTTAGTGGTGGTCAAGAGGATCAGGCTTAGTAGATGTATCAGAGTAATGGAATATGGGCAGTGACGTGGCAATAATAACTAAGGAATACATTTAAGAGTACTATAAGTGTGGCCGGGTGTGGTGGCTCAGACCTATAATCCCAGCACTTTGGGAGGCTGAGGTAGGTGGATCACTTGAGGCCAGGAGTTTAAGACCAGCCTGGCTAACATGTTGAAACCCCAACTCTATTAAAAATGCAAAATTTAGCCTCCAATCTCAGCTAATCAGGAGGCTGAGGCAGGAGAATCGCTTGAACCTGGGAGGCAGAGGTGGCAGTGAGCTGGGATTGTGCCCTGTCACTTTGTACTGGGTGACAGAATGAGACTTTGTCTCAAAACAAACAAACAAAACCCAAGAGTACTAAAAGTGGTTGTCACGATGCAAATGCCACATGCTAGTCAAGTAAACAGTGTCTGTGGGCTCTAGTGTTGGGGACGGGGCACAACAGCTGAAGAGTGAGTGGTGGTGGAGTGGAAGTAGCAAATGCTGTCAGTTCTGTCCTAGAATGTGGCTCTGAATGGAGGGTGGAGAATTAGAGCGAGGTACCTCAACCTCTGCATTACTGACGTTTAGGATCAGAAACGTATTTATTATGTATGTGTGGTCACGGGAGGGGTTGTGCTCTGCATTGGAGGATGTTTAGACACACTCTGGCATATGTTCACAAGATGCCAGTGGGATCCTCCCTAAACCTCTTGAGACAACCAGTATGCCTCCAGGCATTGGAAATAATCCTCAGGAGAGAAGGTCAGTCGAGAAGCACTGATCTAGATGTACCTAAGTACTCAAGAGTGTATTGATACGTAGGATGTAAACATGTCACAAGTTTTATTGTAAAATGATTATTGATAAAAAATATAGAATTTTTTTTTACTATTTTTGCTTCATCTTGGTTATTTTAAATTTCAAAATGTTGAATTCTACTACAATATGAAATGTGGAGTTTTATTGATAACCATCTGTCTTGACCGGTTTTTTTTTAGAAGTCAGCCATTTCTTTACCATATTATATTCATTTTGGTTCTTGTTTTCCTTCAATACATGCTTCAGCATTATGTTCTGAAATAACACAGCAGAGGGAAGAAATCTTCAGGGCCAATCATTGCAATGATTCAGATCTAATCACCCCACATTTGCTTTTTGTTTTTTTCTTGTTTTAGGAAAAAATAAAAATTAAAAAAAGGTATCTGGAAAGTGTTTTTTGAGTCTCTTGAACTCAGGAATAACCTCTAGGCAAAAATGATTTTT